GCATGTACAGACTGCATTGCTATGGATGCATGTAGAGATTGCACTGGTATGGATGCATGTACAGAATGCACTGGTATGGATGCATGTAGAGATTGCACTGGTATGGATGCATGTACAGGATACTACAGATTACACTGTATAGCAACTCACCAGTGGCTGAGTGGCAGAAGATATTTCTCATGGACGATTGTTCCAACCCGCTCCTTGTCTGCTGCAGCCTGCTTTCCAGCTCCCGTTAGATGCCAGGATACAGACTTGTAGACCTCGCCAAAGTTACACAGGAAAGTGTATGAATATCCCGTCACTGCATTGATACTACCCATAGCCCGTACTAGCGGTGGTAATGACTCCTGCACATCATGACCAACCTATGGTGCAACATAGTGCAGTGACAGACACAAACACAAATTACACTTCAGTTAAACACAACCCAGGAGGAATTTGAAAAGCCGGACTGCCGACTCGGTATCATACCACTCAGAGGTACTCCTTGTGGATTCAGTCCCACACACTCGGTCTGGTGGATATTAGTAGATACACATCTCTTTTAGTTAGACATATCTCTGCAATCATCACCCCTGGGACCTAAGAGCATAGTGTTTTAGGCCAAAACTGACATGTTGGAGAGTAGCAGAATGAAAAATAGCAAGGGAGACTTAACTGCAAGTTCAGTTCATATAATCTGAAAATTCAAACCTATTGCGGCTGTAACTCACCTGAGGAGGTAGTCTATGTTTACTCAAGCCATATGATGCCTTTGCACTGTGACAGCTAAGCAGCGTTGTGCTCTCCTTTGAAGCAGCAGAGGATTTAGCATGCGAGCGACTGCCTGCACTCTGGCTAGAATGCATAGTACCTAGTGAGGTACCGCTGACGTAGGACACCATTGACCTGCTATCAACATCATCTTCTAGCATCATCCCACCACTGTGAGAGCTATGCACACTTAGACTGTCACCTTCACTTGCATCTACACACCGGCACAAACGGGAATACACAAAAGAAGCCGCAGCAGAGGAGGGATCAGTTTCAGAGGCAGAAGCAGAAGCAGCACCACTAAACACAAGATTTTCAGAAACCAAAGGATGATGGTTGTCAACTAAACCCGGCAACTGGGTGCTATATGTATGGTGGACAAAACCAAGCGCTTACTCCATGACTACCTAACAATATCTGAGCACTTTCAACACCCTGGGTGCATCCTTTGTGATGGGTACACGTATTACCCAAGAAGGCACCTTGCATGCTGAGGGTACCTAGGTGTCGTGCGCATGACAGAGTGCAGGCATTACTGTATGTCTCTGAAGAACAGACCCGGCTAATGACCTCACACATCACTCTCTGAAGAACAGACCCGGCTAATGACGGTGCACATCACTCTCTGAAGAACAGACCCGGCTAATGACGGTGCACATCACTCTCTGAAGAACAGACCCGGCTAATGACGGTGCACATCACTCTCTGAAGAACAGACCCGGCTAATGACGGTGCACATCACTCTCTGAAGAACAGACCCGGCTAATGACGGTGCACATCACTCTCTGAAGAACAGACCCGGCTAATGACGGTGCACATCACTCTCTGAAGAACAGACCCGGCTAATGACCGCACACATCACTCTCTGAAGAACAGACCCGGCTAATGACGGTGCACATCACTCTCTGAAGAACAGACCCGGCTAATGACGGTGCACATCACTCTCTGAAGAACAGACCCGGCTAATGACGGTGCACATCACTCTCTGAAGAACAGACCCGGCTAATGACGGTGCACATCACTCTCTGAAGAACAGACCCGGCTAATGACGGTGCACATCACTCTCTGAAGAACAGACTCGGCTAATGACGGTGCACATCACTCTCTGAAGAACAGACCCGGCTAATGCCGGTGCACATCACTCTCTGAAGAACAGACCCGGCTAATGACGGTGCACATCACTCTCTGAAGAACAGACCCGGCTAATGACGGTGCACATCACTCTCTGAAGAACAGACCCGGCTAATGACGGTGCACATCACTCTCTGAAGAACAGACCCGGCTAATGCCGGTGCACATCACTCTCTGAAGAACAGACCCGGCTAATGACGGTGCACATCACTCTCTGAAGAACAGACTCGGCTAATGACGGTGCACATCACTCTCTGAAGAACAGACCCGGCTAATGACGGTGCACATCACTCTCTGAAGAACAGACTCGGCTAATGACGGTGCACATCACTCTCTGAAGAACAGACCCGGCTAATGACGGTGCACATCACTCTCTGAAGAACAGACCCGGCTAATGACAGTGCACATCACTCTCTGAAGAACATACCCGGCTAATGACGGTGCACATCACTCTCTGAAGAACATACCCGGCTAATGACGGTGCACATCACTCTCTGAAGAACATACCCGGCTAATGACGGTGCACATCACTCTCTGAAGAACAGACCCGGCTAATGACCTCACACATCACTGAGACTCTCTGAAGAACAGACCCGGCTAATGACGGTGCACATCACTGAGACTCTCTGAAGAACAGACTCGGCTAATGACGGTGCACATCACTCTCTGAAGAACAGACCCGGCTAATGATGGTGCACATCACTCTCTGAAGAACAGACCCGGCTAATGACCGCACACATCACTCTCTGAAGAACAGACTCGGCTAATGACGGCACACATGACATAAGACATGATAAAGTACAATGTACAGGTAACAGTTCTCCTCCACGCTCCATACATGTAGCAATACGTAGCTGCAGCAGTTTACCTGATGCCAAGTCCTCCTGGTCTGGTGCATTGCTCGTCACCGACTTGCTTGCAGTGCTGAATCTCCGGCGAAGTTTGTCAATACTCGTTGAATAGCGTCGCTTGTCCTTCACATCAGGTGAATATGAACTTTTACGCACTCGACTTGCAGGATTCTCTTCAGCATTGGCTACTGCCTGTAAGTCACGAGAATGCAATACCATGACACAGCATGTCATTCTTACGTTTGCAGCAATGTGTCTACTGACGACCCCTGCCTTGATTGCATCAGTCAACTCGAAAAGGCCCCTCTGATATATTTACTCAGGGCGTTAGAGGGCAGTAGAGAGTGGTACGACTGGGGGGTCCCCCAGGGGAAAATCGGATTTTCGGACAACAGGGCACGTTTTAGCGCTCTACGGGCTCTCTGGGCGGACCATCCTGGTACGACCATGGTCGTTCTGGTCACACAGTGTGTGACACCCATATTACTAGTACCAGTAACACAAAACAGCCCCTTGACTGTGTGAATACTGTTGTTTTGATTCAGAAAATTAGTTGTACTTGCTAGAAGTCCAGCAAAATGATATAGCTAACCGACTCACTGGTTGTGATTGCAAGCTTACCTTGAGCATAGCGTGCTGCAGAGTAACAAGCCAGGCACTGAAGGCACACACAATGATCAAAGTAACAGAGTACATCATATCATTGAATGGGAGTATCATCGGCACTACCAAGAGTACATTACCTGCAAGAGTGTGCAACTCCAGTCTATGAGGTCTGCGGCGGCAACACTTTGCATCATGTGATGCGAAGTTCTGCCGTCGCGGACCCTATTGAGTACTATCGGGCACCGAAGAACTAAGCGCCGAGGAACGGCCAGGCCAGAATTTCACCATTTTTTAAGAGCGGTCTAGGCTGGATTTTTGCAGAAAAGAACGGACACTACATAATAATGTACACTCAGAAGCATAACTCTGCATAGGTCTGGATGATACATTCGCGTAGTTTCATGGTAAGTCAAAACAAGTGAACTGGCACAAGGTCCTAGTGACAGTGCATATGCGTCACCATGCAACAGTCACGTACATCATGGGTACATGTACCGGTACGTGTACTGGTAGAGGGGATGGTTTCAAATAGGACAGAGGTTGCAAACCGGAACGGACTCAATATTCACTTTCTCTCTTGGTAGTTTGATTAGAAAACATGTCACAGTGAGACTACGATGTGTTATACTCCGAGCCAAAATTGCATGGCTCTGCGATGACCAGAAGCGCCATACCAAGCAGGTGAGTTTTTGACGTGTTGCTTCACACTGCGACTTGAGTTTTACGACTTTCGAAAAATCAACTTCTTGTCGCAGGTAAACAGCGGCTCGCCTCTCGCCAATAAAGCACCGCATACCAATCAAAACTAATGGAAGCACACACAAGGCTTATTGTTACTCTGTACTGGCCGTCGTGGAGCGATAGCAATTACCTAATTTCAGACCCAGAGTGAATTTGACGTGCACTCAAAAACGTGTCCGGTTTGGAGCCACCTCTGATTTGAACTTTTTTGAAGCGAAAAATTGGGCAACTTGGAGGCAATGGGTCAACACAAAGGAGTGGCTCAGTTCGATTGACTCTGGCCCCAGAGCAAACTTCAACATGCCAGTTTCCTTCCACAAACATATTTCGAGTGAGAAATCAACGCTGATGATCGGTTTGGGTCTATACAAATTTGTCTGTCGAAGCGTCCTGGTATCGAGCCGTCCCCTCTACATGTTGTTTGGTTGACAGCATGTTACAAGGCGGAGGCATGTACAGTCCACATGTGAACTTAGCGTCTGTGCATATAATGACATGACGGTACATGTATGACTGTACCATCGAATAAGAACGAAACGGCTGTGTTCGCGAAAAGCAAGAACAGGCTAGGCTAGAAGAAAATCTTTTTTAGTGCTGGCATAATAGTACTGATTGCTCTCGCTCATGTGTGAGCGATCAAAATTGATGACCCCGGCACTAAAATGATATTTCTTGGAAATATTAACTTAAGCCATGAAGACACAGCCTTTCTCGCAACGGCCCATATAACTGTTATCGGAGTATAATTATGCTGGTGATGGTGGTGATGGTGGTGATGGTGGTGATGATGGTGGTGATGGTGGTGATGGTGGTGATGGTGGTGTACCGGGGTATTGATACGCAGAGCAATATGGACCCTTGAACCTCTACTGTCCTTTCCCCCTTACCATCTGATTTAATAGTGTCTAGATCAGAAACGTGACGGCAAAGGCGGCACATACATACCTAGCCTCATCCTTGTTTGTTCCATACAGATAGACCGGCCTGGTCTGAGTTGCAATGACAAAACAACACTCCCGAAGAACTCCAGTCGGCCAATCCACTGACAAGCCCTTGGCACCGAAGGCCACACGATCTTGTACGGTGGCACACACAGCCAGGTCGATTGTCACTCCTTGGTTGGACCAATCTGCTGGAGATTTGTAGAAGACCAGTCGTCCATCTTCATAGAGAATAAACCAACGCTTTGACCAGGATTTCATAACACCACCTACACGTATGTCAGCACAGAACACGGCAAGTACAAGTAACATTACAGAACACAGCAAGTACATGTGCACGGCACGTTACAGAGATGACTACAGTACTGTCGGGCGCCAAAGAACGGAGAACGAACAGGCTAGGCCTTAACCCAGCACAGCATGCCAATATATACACGGTGACTCTATTGCGCATAAAATGTTGTGCATGAGAATAAGAACCGTCTGTGTTGGACGTGCAGGCGTCATCCTGTGTTCAGAGACCACCTGCAGTTGGAGACTACCTGCAGTTAGAGACCACCTGCAGTCGGAGACCACCTGCTGTCGGAGACCACCTGCTGTCGGAGGCCATGATAGTCCTGTACCATGAGTGGTCACTGAAACCAGGTACTGTATTTTCCAGAGTATAAGCCGCACTTTAAACACAAGTAATTCACAGAGCCGGTGCGGCGGCTTATACATGTACAGTGCGTATCGGTTATAGCGTGGTCCTATACAAGAATATACTGCCTACAAGAATGAACACTCATTTTTTCATAATCAGAACACATATTTTATGTGTGTATTTATTCTTACAAGCAGTATTATCGCATAGTAGATTATATCGGTCCTAACAATGGATTTTGTGCAGCAAAATATGCCAGGTTAGTGCAAAGTGTATCGGCTGTAGTAATAACATCTGTGCTCTGTGCATACTCAATACAATAATATTCAACACAAAAAAGAGTTATGTCCAACTGAGCATTGGAGAATCACTTTTTCTGTCCAGTCGGACTCTTTCTTCCGACTTCTCTCGTATCTGCTGCTCCGCAGTCGCCTAGCACGACCGCGAGTCTGATCCGTGTGTATCATGACATTGTGTAGACCTTCATGACTGTACGTGTCCACATGCCAAACGTGCGTGCATATGCATTGATATGTCACACGTGCATCTGATATGTCACACGTGATTTATCGTGTGTAAGAAATATCGACAATAAGAATCAAATGTCGTTTTTCAAACACCCACGCTATAACCGATACCTACTGTACTACGATGGTCAACTAAATTAACGGTGCTAAATGGGGTAGATGTCTGTATTTCATTTTTTTTTTAAGATCTGGGTGCTGCTTATACTCCAGTGCGACTTATGCTCCGGAATATACGGTACATGTTGCCCCTTTACATGTTTATGCATGGGAAACTTACTTACTTAGATTAGAAACAGACCAACAACTTGATTCTGACAGAGCCCTTGCTCAACATACCACTCATACTCTACAGAGTGTATTGGTATTGTGGGTAGAAAAAGCACTGATAACGTTAGAACGTGTGCCCAAACACTGGGGTAGTTCCAGCAGAACGCCCTCTTCTTTGTGGCCCATCCAGTGGCAACATGATTATGATCATGATAACAATTGGAGATAAATAATGCTCTTATCTGCCCAACCAATCACTGAACTCAGGTTCAACATTTGTGCCATTTGGCAGCTTTTCCTTCTTCTGTATTATGATGTACAATGATGAGATGTACATTTCAAATTGTAAGTTCAAACATACGTATAGCTTTGAACAATCATCTACACTGCTAATTAAGATCATTCACCTAAACAAGCCGGGAGGTACAACCGACTGTATGCTCCTCAGTCTTACTCCTTTAGACTTCGAGCTGATAGTGTGTGTGTTGAAGCAAACATGTGCACACATCATTTTGGCTGGGGGGGGGGGGGGGGCATTCAGACCCTCCAAGGCATCACTGTTGATCCAATTAAAAAATCAAGCCTACTTGTAGCAGTGTAAGGCCTAAATACATGACAGAAATAAGCTTCTGATGAGCATCACCACAGCACGTGGTGTGACACTATGGCAAGTGTGTGCATGTGGGTGGCACAGGCTGCTGCATGAATGCTATATATGCTACACTGTACTGACTCACTGTGGCCCCAGGTGGAAACTCAGCCAGTCTCAGGGACCACAGCACGTGCAGAGTTTCTGAAACTCAGTTTATATGGGAAGAGAATACAATATCAATAGCGCTACATTGTTGTGAAATGATGTGTTGTTTTCCTGCATTAGTACATCCTACACGAGTAAGAGCCATGCTGGCTGAGTAAAAATGCACAACCATTGAGCAGCAGCATTGTCATCTTCCTCCAATATAATCCAGAGCTGGGTAGGACAAAAGGGATTTGATGGGATACTACTAGTAATAGATGAGTTTACCGTGCTCATACCAACGGGTACTATGTCTATGTCGTGTGCGCAGGAAGTAACATTAGTTGGCCACCTGTCAGTCCCCGCAGAACAAAATTGATTTATTGGGTGTTCACAATGGGACTTACAGGATCGTCATTACTGTAATTATTGGTTCGATTGTCGAGAATGGTCGTGCATCGTTGCACGCACACTATGACACAGTGAAACTCCACAAGTAATATTGTTCACTGCCCCAAGAGCCGTCTGCGAAACTCATTTCACATTCAAATGATCTTGCAGCGCCACTTACTCTGTTTCATTAGCCAGCCACATTTCCGCACTCGACATGATCCCGACATTGGGAACCGCTCCAACCGATTGCTCCCGCAATCCCCCACACAATAGCTGTTGTACACACGGACGATAATAAGTACTCGGCCACCGACACCCTAACGGGTTAGGTTTCCCTGATAGCGCACTAACCGTACTCCACTTTAGCAGCACCAGCAGCAGCACACCGTGTTCTGTCTGCAGCGCGCCAAGCTCTTCAAAAACTATACTCTACGACATTGTCCCAGTAAAACAACATACATGTATTCACCATTTTCATTGTCACCAAACCGTCATTTGGAAATAAAAGTAGACGACTGACGGCGGTTTGGCAATGGCATGCACCAGGCACTAGTGCCTCTCTAGTAGTAGAGCTGGGCGTGCTAGACTCTGTGCAAACCTTGCAACTCAGACAAGTCTCGAGATCTCACTGTTCACCCTCGAGGCCTCCATTCAGCGTTCATCTAACTCATCGTTACTGTTACTTCACGACAAATGTAACGTTTCGAACCTTCTCAGTCTATCCTGGTTGGCGGCAGCAAACTCAACGATTTGTCAACAAGCCGCGGCGTGATCATCAAGACCAGTGCATGTAGTGCACGCTGTAGTGTAGTACCACTAGTACCAGTACCAGTGCATCGGCCTTGCACTAGATCGAGCATGTGCACGCTTGTTCTTGTCAGTAGTTGTAGATCTACCCTGGCGCGTGGCCCTGCCTACAATCCCCATAAAAAGCAGCCCGTGTAACACTCACACTACACGGGGGTAGATCTACGGAGTCATCCATGGTCATGTCACTTGTCAGTGCAAAATGGCATTGTTCGACACCATGCACTGTCGCATGCATGTCGACAGTCATACATCCATCGATGCATCGTCGACAGTACAGTGCACCGCGCGCGCTAGCGATTATGAAAATAATAATTACCGTATATTCTCTATTATAAGCGCCGTGCTTATATTTTTTCAACACCCCTCTACCCCGTGCTTATATTGGAGACCGCGCTTATATTGGAGACCGTGCTTATATTTTTTCAACCAATACATCCATACGGAGCAAGAAGAAATACATGCTGGATATCATGCATGCAGCATTGATTTCCACCAAGACCGTGCTAATAATAGAGACTGTGCTTATAATGTTTCGAAAGGTGCTCACAGTGTGCTAGTATTAGAGACTGTGCTAGTAATGGAGACCTGTGCTTATAATAGAGAATATACGGTATTTGATAGATGTCATGTGTAGACCTCAGCACTGGTAGTGGTACATGTAGTGCTAGTGCCTAGTAGTAGTGGTAGACTAGACTGCACGTCAAGAGCAAGGAGGGGGCTAATCTTCTCGCAGAAAAGGGGGAAAAGGGGAGAAAAAGGGGGAAAAAGAGGGGGAAAAGAAGAGCGGGAAATTGAAAAAGAGGGGGTAAAGAATGGCAGGAAAAGGAAAAAGAGGGGGAAAAGGATGGCGGGAAGCATCCACCGTTTGAATGTGCATACATCTAAAGTGAGGCTATTTCCAGGCTGTGCACAAGCCGGTACACGTCCACCACGGCCTCTCGCAGCCTCCTCCTCTTCCTCCCCCCCCCCCCATCACACACAATGTGCCGATTATCCTAATGTCAACTATCCAAATGATTAATTATCCAAAATAATTGCTTGCATTTAATTGAGGGGTAGAAGATGAGTTTCAAAGTTAGTGATTTTCGTCGCTCGGGGCACCATTGAAGCGATTCACAAGATGTATTAAAACAGGTTTGAGTCAAAATGTGTAATAATAGTGTCATTAATTTAGAGGAGCATGAGTGCACCTAGTTCCTGTTTCACTGCTGAAGAGAACGAAAATGATGAAAACATGCTGGAATATGCATGATTTAGATAGATGTGTGACTGCTCTCTTATCCGAACATTCTTCTCATCTGAACCCTCTGGAGACAGCCCGCGTCCCGAGGGGTGGGGATAATTGGCACTCTCCTGTACATCAAATTCTATTCTTAAATTATATACATATTGTAGAGCTCTTTCTGCTGCCGGGAATGAGAAAACACATCCCAGGTAAGGATACGCCCCTCAAGGAAACACAGCTGGTGGATTCCAACAGTCAGGGGCGTCGCACACGGTACGGTCACTACGGTATTGACCGTACCACTTTTTGCCCCAGATACCCATGAGTCAACAAAATACACTGGGGATCTAAAATTCAAAAATTTTCGGCTCAGCCACCACTCCCCCACGAGTCAATTGTACTTCAGATGGCTGACCGTACCACACTAAAATACCTTCCGACGCCCCTGACAGTAGTAGTAGTATGAAACTCATACACAATCAATTAGAAATACTTTGGAGAATAAACCTTTGTTGGCGAAACAAAGTTGGGCGAGAGTATGATGTTCAAGTAAAACGATACTAAAGTGCCGTTACGTGAAGAAAGGAACGTAGTGCACAAGTTAATGAAGATAAATTCACATGCAGAACACAATATGCCCAGATGTGGAAATTTAAGTCAAGATTAGCAGAATATACACACATGCAAACACACACACACACACACACACGCGTGTGCACACAGACGCAAACACACACACACACATATGCACACATATGCACACATATGCACACATACGCACGCACACACACACACACACACACACACACACACACGCACACGCACACACACACACACACACACACACACACACACACACACACACTGTTGGCTGCTATAATGCGATGGCAGCCTAGACAGAGGAAACAAAGTTTACACAAGCAAATTCCTACTCTTTTTCTTTCTTTGTCTTCTTCTTCTTCCTCATATTCAATTCAAGGCAGGCTCTTCTATTTTTTTTGCTTCGGCCAACCTCGTTTTGGGATCTGACCCAATTTATTGGGGCAGTACAGGTACCCTGAACCTGAGAGTGTCCTTCTGATGTCATCGCTCTCCTACATTTTCTGCACGTCTATATTATTCTTTCTACGAGGACAGCAGAAGGACAGAAACAAAGACATCCACACCATTTTTAAGACTGCATCTTCCAAAGAACACATCAAAAAGCAAATTCTACACGCCAAGCATCGGTTCACGCCGTAACAAATCTCCACGCCATGAAAAATTCGATCGAATGCCTGGTGGGAGATGCTTTTTAAAAGGCTTGCATACATTTTTCACAAAAGACATTGTTGTGGCTGCCACCGGATTCGTACAAGAATATGTCAACTTCTAATCAAGGACTGTAATGAGTTTTGCCTTACGTATTAGAGGGGAAGTCTGCTGACTTTTTTTAATTTCAGGACCCGTAGAGTTTGGGGCGCTGAGTCGAATGTTCTTTTCCGAGGAGGCTGCGGTCCATGGTTCGTCAGATACGCCCAATCGAAAATGAGCGAAAGCGAGCACGCAGTCTACCTGATCCAGGTGATAAGGTCACAGTGTGCAGCCAGGTAGCCACACCATCTATTTGTGTGCAAAATGGCCAATATTCGAAACGCGTTCGATTTGAGAACCATCTGTCGCAGCTTCTTCGGACCAAGAGCATTCGACTCACTGTTACAAGCCCTACGTACCCTGTGATTTTCAGCTCGGCAAAATTTGAGGATACCCCGTTTTTAGCCGTTTCCGAGTTGGACTTTTTACATCCGCTGGCTTCTGCGTGCATGCCATAGTCAACAAACATACGGAACACTACACTACAGTACTGCCGCGCACCGAAGAACGGGGTCAGGGTTCTAGCCTAGCCCGTTCTTATTTTTGGCGAACACAGCAGTTTCGTTCATATTCGATGGTACAGTCTTACATGTACATTTATGCAGAGTTATACGTCTGAGTGTACATCATATTCATATTGTACATTACGTTTCTACTTAGACCGTTCTTAAAAAATAGCGAAATCATAGCCTGGCCGTTCATCGGCGGTCCGTTCTTCGGCGCCCGGCAGTACTGTAGTAGTAGTAGTACATGACTACACCCGCACTGTCGTGCTAGCGCTACGCGAGTCGTGTGGTAGATCTAAATGTACAAGAGACTAGTCAATACACGGACGTGTCATGTACTGCACCCGGTATGTAGTTAGAGAAGGTGTGCTCCTCCGGGCCAGTGATTGTGCTTTGAGAAAGAAATATTTTAGTTTTCCGCTTGGAATAGTCCAGCCTCATTTATGCTACAACGATGAGTCCACAACCGTGACAAGCGACAAAACCGCGAACAGCTCCCGGACCTAAAACGTTCAGATCCCGAAGTGTTGTGATCCTTGAATCGAAGAGTCGTGTCCGTGGTTCCAAGAACCTGCATTGTATATCCAATCGAGCAGCGTCCGAGCTATGTTTGCACCAAAAATCGTTAAATTTTCCACTGTATCATGGAAATGCCACACCCTACAGTCCCGCTGTTACCATATTTTACCGGTATAAGTCGACTTATTGAATTGAATTCAGTGCAAACAGGAATTTCGGATAATTGACCGTTTGGACAGTTGACATTCGGATAATCGGCATTCTACTGTAATCCTAGTGCATGCAATGAAACATACTTGACTGTTGGGAGTCTTGCTGCGTCAGTGCAAATTGGCAGTTAATGCTAGAAGCTGCAGTGAACAACATCACAAATAGAAAATAAAGAAAAGCAAATACAACTGAACTTTGATACTGGAAATTACAGATCTGCTGCCCGCATCCACATGTCCATATTCTACATGTGCGATTGATCCTGCAAGATCTTCACTGCCCGTCTAATTGAGGATGGCACCCCAAATAGAGCGGACCGCTTCTAAACCAATCAAAGACCCAGGTTGTTATACTCCAGCAACCGGGCAAAGACCTGTCACCCACCCATGACCCATCAGCCCATCTCCTTATGCTCACATTTTGGTGAAGTAGTTGAGCACCTGTCCTTCCTTCATCAAGTGGATATCCTAAGCATGTGACTTACCGCTGGTATATCTCTGCACATCCATCTTGACTGGTTGTCAAGTCCCTTTCCGGAGAGGTAGAGTGGATGGTAGGGTCAGTGCAGTCCTGGCCACGCCATGAGAAAGAAGACATTTTCCCATCAGGAGCAGGCCAACATCCTCCCTCTGGGTAGTGCCTTGATACCTGCAGTGCAGTGCAGTAACATTAAACTGCAATTGAAACTGTCTCCATGCCATTGTTAAGCCCAGTTCACATTCGACGGGGCGCAACGGGGCGCGACATAAGGATCGACGGGAAACGCCGGGGCGGTCACCCCGTCACGGACTGTGCCTTATGACTCGCACCATTCGTTATTGAACATCGCAAAGACTGGAGCATGTCGTGTCGTACAAATTGTACAAGATTTTACAGCTCACCCCAGCCGTCACAGGCCCTTACGTCCCGTACCGTCAGCGTTGCGTCGAAAGAGAACTAGGCTTTAGAAAGATTACGTGTTGGTATGTGCTCCTAATTACACACAAATATACAAAAGGTATATAAAGAGAAAGCATGATCCACCCCATCATTGACACCAACAGCCCGGCACAAGAGCAGCAGCACCTGCATTCTATTAACCCAAAGTTCATCTGCGAATATACTCACAGAGTCGTCTCCTTTACTGTGCCCGACCTTGGAAGAAAACAACACAGCAACGTAGTGTTGGTTTCGGTGAGGGCTTCTACGTTCACATGAACACACAGAAAAGCACAATATATTTCCAAACAGACGCCAACTAGTATAACCAAACAGCAACGACAACACCACAAAGACCTAACAGTCTCTTGAGCACAAAGTGTCTGGGATAAAAAAAGAGCAGAAGTTCACCATCGACACTGGTATTATAAAACTTTCTACAATTGCTGCAGAGGCAGCAGCAGGGTTCTAGTGCCCGGACCCAAAGCTCATCTGAGAATTTTCGCCATTGATACAAAGCAACGACCATGGTAGCAGCAGAGAGTAACAGCAGCAGCCGTTTGAGCAGCAGTATCAGCAGTCTCCAGCTTCAAGGGATTGACCTAGCAAATTTTACAGTAACATGAAAAGTGCAACTGCACTCTTTCCGGCACCAAATATGCCATGCTGTCCCCCGCTGCAAAATAGAGAGGACAACTCTCAACTGTCGCCAACACCTTGGCCCAGAGGGAGTCTTTCCTTCGACATTCGCCCCGGCCAAAGAAGGTCAAAACCCAAGTGGTGTAATCATGTATCTGCTTCTCCTATCGAGACACTGGCAAGGCTTGTATAGGCATGATAAATTGATAATACTGTATGCATATAACAAAGGCAAACGCACAAACTCACGTCCATGCACATGTGCACGGACGGTGTCGTTGGCGTACACACACACACACACACACACACGCGCGCGCGCCCACGCCCACGCATGCACAGGACAAAGGCATGTGCAAAGGAGCATGCTCATAAAAGCACAGGACAGGCACACGACTGATCTACGGATGTATCACGACATTGAAGGGACGGAGCTTGCAGCAAGCCTTCACCCTCTGGAGATTCCTGAAATACATAAATACATGTCAGCAGTAAATAGTTGCAGCATAAACATTTCCACGGGGACTGTGCAGCTTCACTAACCTTAACTTCAGTCTCCCCAGAATACAGCAATCAGACAACGGCTACGAAGAGGTGCAGGAAATTTGAACAACTGTTTCAAAAGCAGTCCTCCAAGCCTTCTGCACCAACAGGTGATTCAGTTCGTGCTCTTATACCATCCTGGCAGGTAGAGACATTTTCTAATAACACGAAGAGCACAATCATCAAGGTGGGCAAATCCTCAAGAGAGAGTGCACCCTAACTTACACTACAAATCATTTACTGGACACTACTGGACAGAGCGTCCAGTCCATTCAGTCCAGGGGAGAAGAGGCAAAGGCATAGGGCTCCTGAGAAGATGAAAGGGCAACACATTATCATTACTACATTAATTTTATTATTGGGGGCAGACGTCTTCTCTGTAAAATATGAGGACGAAAGGCATATCAGTACTCACATCCCTGCTCATATCACTGCTCATCCCTGTCCTCTACGAGGGCAATGCACTTAGGGCTGAAACAAGTATACAGATAACTCGCAAACCGATCGTTTTAAGAGCGCAATCGATAATCGTTAGTGTTCAAAGCGAATGCAAACGATTTTTTATGCATGCATACCAGTGGCAGTATTCTAGCCCTTGCACTCCATCCAATTGTGGATACGAGTGCAATCGTGTACTTTCAAGCGCAGTAATATTGATGCGTTGCTATGAAAGAGATCGGGAGTCAAG